CATTCAGTCATTGGCTAATCAATGGCAGGCGCATACCCATTTTCGGCATATCGTGTGACAATCCGATTCAATTTTGTCTCATTTAACGTCGTTGCTACTCGGTTTCGGTTACTTCGGCGATTTGTATTTGAGATTCTTGTTAATTGTCATTGTTAGTGCATGGTCGTCTACTGTAATATACACACATTTTGCTTCGGAACATTTATCACAAGGCACACGAAAAGAAATTTATGCAGCAACGGCAACAGCACACACACACACACTCGATTTAATCCTACGTACATGCATTATTTATGAGGAATATTATTATGGCCAACAATTCAATTCACACACAAGATTTCGATCTGTATGCAGTCTCGTTTTTCGTGGCAAATATTGGCAGGAAAAAAGCAGACACATGTATTGGACGCGAGAAAGTATCGACGGATAAGAAAACAACAACAAGCTAAACCGAAATGATTTAATGCCCGCTAAAATGCGATAATAGAAATTCGTGAATCGGCCGCGCTGAGATTTGTTTTTCTTTTTTTTTTTTTTCTTCATACATATGTGAAATCTAGAAAGTGAATCTTTTAATGGGCCGCCAATTTTTTTTTATTTCACTTCTTTTTTTCGTCTGGATACTTTACCTCAATGTGAAAGAATAACAATAATATTAAGAAAATAATCTACCGAAAATTCCAATAAATTCACATAATTATGTAATGTCATTGTTTCTCGACAACACATTTCTCGTTATTCTAATTGGGTTTGCTCAATTTAACCAAAGGTGTGGCACAGCTACGCGATATGACGCTTTTACACAAACAACACACGCAACACAATGTCTCGCTTGATACACATAAATCATGGCTCAATGGATTCGGATAATCAGCATATGACATCAAGACGACAAACGACTATGCGCGCATACACACACCGTCCTCGTCGTCGTCTGTCGCTGTATTTAAATGAGCTTATCGATTCAAGCAAAACTAACTTTGATTAAATTCCGTGTACACCACAACCATACCCATTTCCGCCAAGTTTTTTCGCCAATATTGACACACATCCAACGAATTCTTGCAAACGAATTTTCGTTTCGTTTAGTTTTATTTTGGTTAAGCAGCGAAGTTGTTTGTGGTTTTGCAGTGAAGGAAAAACATTTATTTTGATGATTTGGTTGTATTTACACAAATTATGTAAAGTAAATATTGATTGAGTGAAGGAAGAGTTTGATTAGTGCAAATTGAATACAAATAACACTCATGCGGGAAGGTCAATTCGTTAAAGTTTTCATGGATTTTCAACAATTCAACGCGGAATGGGGAAATCAAAGAAAAAGGTAGCTTTTCTTTCTTTCGGAAGGAGATTTTACGTGAAATTCGACGAAAGAGTGCCTGAAGTATTTTGGTTCGAAGAAAAGTCTTCGAAGGCGCAAAAAATTGCGAAAAAGTCATTTTGGTCATTGACAGGGAAAATTCTCTTTCTTTCATACATTTTTTTGTTTTTACTTTTCCGCACACACCTGGTGTCCAGGGGGTAGTATATTTTATGAAACCTTCTAAAGTCACCAATTTCAAGATGTCCATTTAAGGGAAGGTCCATTTTCAAAAAATTCCAAAAACTGTTTGGCGGTTCATTTGGCATCGAGAAAATGTCAAAGGGTTGTAAAAGAGATCCCATCCGGTTGCTCATTACCAAAATGTCATCCAGTCAGTTTTTCAGTGGAAATTATTTGTAATTCAATTGTTGTGTAATTTAATAAACGTAAAAATGTGCGTGAAATGTGTAGTTTTTTCACTGTTTTTTTTTCTTCACGTGTGATAACTCATAAAATTCATTAAATTAACAAAAACTTTGTTTTTTCTTTAAAAGCCTTTCATTTAAGCTCGTTAAAGTCGCTAATTTTGGTTGTTGCTCAACACGCGAACCGTTGGTTTGAATCCCATGCATCTTATCACACTCCAAAAACCAAAAGATCCAACATTCAGTAGAATCGTTTTCATTTGTTCACTTCAAAACTTCAAATTAAACCATTCAAGATCTAATTACAATGAAAGATTAACGACACATGATTGCATCATATGAATTTCATAATAATAATGAGCATGTTCGTTGTTTTCTGCAAAAAAAAAGCAAGTACATTTGAAATGAAGTGCATAAAAACAAAATTTCTCAAGTTTCATCAAAAAAGGTGCATAGACAATATGTCTTCATTTGTGACATATTTCCCATTGTGCATATATTAAGATAATGTTTTGTGTATCGATTACCCGTGATCATGTTGATATGATATTGTATGGTCTATAAATTTGATATGATATGGTTGTCAATGGTGATAAGATGAAATGTGTATAAGATGCCCGTATGTCTTGCGATACTTTCGTTACTAAAATATTAAAATATATGCACGCTTTTGTTAATATGTGAACCTGAAACCTAATTAAGATAATTACCATTCAATTCCAAAATCAAAACGGTGTAACGACAATGTTGCATATCTGTATTGCTCTGTTGCGTCCAATGTCGTGCACAAATCAATATTATCCCGACAAAATAAAATAGTTTTATTTCCTATAAGTGCTTCGAATGGGTATGGTGAGCACGCGTTATGTCGTGCATTGATTACAAAATGAATTTAGCGTGAGTGCGATGGTTATCATTAGATAATGATGTGGTTTTAATTACAATCGACTCGATAAATATAAATGCGGTTCATTATCGCAATCCTATTCATTGTGATGCCGTCGTCGCCACCACCGCGCGCCACGTTGGAATTTTGGACCATTGTTTGTGCAAATAGAAAATTGGAGTTAAATTATGTGCAATTTATCAAATGTTAGCCAGTAATTTGACTTGAAGAGTCAAAACAAATGGAGCTACGTCGATGGAATGGGAAACGACTTTGCTTAATGTAGCTGTATGCGCTTCAGCGTCCGGAACATCATTAAAGTCAATCATTCATTGTTGATACAGTTGCACACCATGGCCCCGAATAGTTCCATCATTTGTGCACGTGTGCAATGTTATTTATTTTTCGGTGTATCATTAAATTATTTGTGGCTGTGCTTACATTAACGAGAAAATGCCAAAAGTAAGACCGTGAATGGGAGCGAATGAACAAAAGATCGATTTCATTTTGGACCACGGTTCTCCCTTTGCAAACTTTTTACCACGAATTTTTCCGAACAGAAAACGCTATTTTCCACGAAATGTGTGCTTGCGTGCAAAATATGTTTGGTTTGAAAAATTACACCTCAACTCATCTTCACTCGAGAGTTCTATAAATCAAATGGAAAATGTGCACGCTTTTTCTTCGGCTGATGCACAAACTAAACATTTCTTGGAATAATTGTTCGTTGCAACAGCGTTAAAACCGTCCGACATACACATTTCCTATTACATTTATTCGAATCAACACGACATGAAATGCAAACCATTTTACATAATTTTTGCACATCATCATCACGGTACGCTTTTTTAGTGTTGCAATTCACTCTACCAACTACAACTTTATCAGTCAATATGGTTTTCATTCGCTTTTGCTCTGCCATTTCCAAATGGGTTACGTCACATGGGTGGGTAATTGAATTTTACTCGTCGTTTATTTTTTTTACGCCAACAAATTCAAAGAGACGGCCAATTCTTGAAATTGTTTTTTTTTTTCGTTCACTTTTTATTTGCGTCACACTTCTTTGCAATTACCAACGGGAGAGATACACTCTCTCTCTCTATAAAAAGTGTTTCAAACAGCTGATTGCCACGACAACTTGTTAGTAAACATTCTTTTCAAGTAAACAGAGAAGACACGCAGTGAATTGCAAAAAATAATATGTGTTGGTCACATCGCAAAATATTTCTACGAATTGTAATTTGTTATGGAAATTCGAATGTCAGGCAAACACACCTAGTTTGACGTACTAGGTAATGCAAACGCCAGTTGACTTGGCTCAATGGGGTCTCATAAATGGTGTTACATAAATTTTTTTCTCTCTCAACTTATTTGACGCCACCGTTTTTATGCGGCTTCTGCAGACTTTTTCTCAGAATGGTAGCGAAACGATGTTGAGATGTCATCCGAAACCATTGAATTGTTTTATGTGGGTTTGCAGTGACACAAAGATACTTGAAATTAAATCACAAGTTCAAGATCATACTATTACGTATGGAAACTTCATTCGAATTTTATCGATTTTTTCTAAAATTTTCTATTGAGTGATTATTGTTTGCTTCTCGGCGAAAACTGCTTCTTTCGTGCCTTAAACAATTGACTGGTTAATTATGGAATCTGAATTTCAGACTCTGAAAAAGTATACTGATTCAAAAAATGTTTGATGCTAATTGAAATGATGAATATTCAATCGATTTCAAACGTCTGCTCATCAGAAAATACTTGAATCATTCAGGTTTGTGAGTTTGGTGTTGGCATAGCATATTTGATACTTGAGTTACGTTCGACAGGTGCACGAATTGCGTGATTATGGATAAACAAATCAATGGGCGGAAAAACTTTCAATAGAATGGAATTTAAATGAGTACTGCCGTCATAGAATCATGTCATAATTATTTGCATTGAAAATAGAGATTTATTCTCACTGGGTCATTGGTGAGTGGTGTTCATAGGTCTTGATAGGAATTTTTTTTGGGGGAGGGAGTTGTGATGGTGAAGATTCCGTAGGTGGTGCCTGACAAAAATCATAAGGGATCCTCACAAAAGTCAGTATAAAAAGGGTCCTCTCGGCAAATCCTCCATCGAAAGAGGGTTTTAGATTCCATTTCGATTATTACTGAAGAGGGAGAGGAGGAGAATTTGGCTCAAAAATCCCAAGAAAATCAAAAGATTTACTCTTGTCACAAAGACGATCGAAAGGGTCCCCAAGATTTGTTTAGGGGTCGGAAAAAATGTTTAGGGTATAATCAGAACACTAGAAACCCTCTTCAGTACCTATGAATGGTACTATTTCTACGAATTGACTATGAATGGTGTTTTTTAACAGAAATAAAGATATCACATTGACTTTCATTCAACTATATTTCAAAATTCTGGAATTTATTTGAAATAAGACAATTTATTTATTAAAGTTATGTACTTCGATTGTTCAATATATCACGGGTTGAGAGATACTTCCAGCATTCTTCACTTGTGTTCAACATTCTCTTTGCTTTGTACACAATATTTTCTACAATTTTCCGATGTTCAATTCATCAATATTATTTTCTTCATTGTTTTCAATAAGCAACACTTAATTCTCCGTACAATATGACTTCCAAGCATTAACAATGTCTGTATAAACAAGTTCATTGGCATGAATGGCGATTGCAAAATCATTATGATCGAAAGTCTTAAGATCGACTTCTTTCGAAAAGCAGACATTCGATAATTTCGATTGTAATTCCAACACATCTTGCGGATCGGCAACTGGATCAGCTGCACTATAATGAAGTGTAATCTTTGCTTTGATATTTTGCAGTGGAAAGTCATCCGGAATCATTGGATTGATTCCCGGTTCTTGAATATACATTCCAAAGTATTGGTATTTCACACATTCACCATAATGAAGAAATTGATTTAAGGCCGCACCGGAATTATGACATCCATACACAAGCTCCAGCGACTTTAAAAGAAATGTGTAAAAACGTCAACTGAAAAAAATAGTATCGGATATTTTTGGTGATTTTCAATGTACCCTGTTTCTTTGACCTTCGCTCGCATGTGAGCATAATCCGAAAATATTACTCGGCGCACAAAGAACCCGCTTTAAATCCACCTGCACCGCCGAATGCAGTTGAAGTTCAGTGTTTCTGAATGGCTGAAAAATTAGATTCTATTATAAATTAATTTTGACAAAAATTTCGCAGTGTTCACCGAAAGTAATGTGAAAGCAGCGCTGGCTGCCGCTTTCGTCGAATTATCAAGGTATTTGAAAGAACCAACCGGAGCCATTAGACTTGCCACATTGATTTTGTCATTGTACTCCGGTCTTTTGGAGAGTAAAACGAGGAGTGTTGTGGTGCCTTGTGAATGTCCGACATAGTAGAGTTGAGATGAATTCGTTTGAGCCAAAATATAATCAATTACAGCCGGATGATCGTAAATAGCGATTTCATACCATGTAAAATTCCAAAACCCACTTGAAACATCATCTGGATTTTTGGTTGTATGGTTTTTTGAATAAAATGTTCCACGACAATTCGTTAACCAAACGTCATAGCATGCATCAGCCAAAAACAATGCTGAAAAATCAGAAATTTAGGGTTGAAGTAGTTAAAATGGATTTGAATTGAATACCCAAACTTTCATTTCCCGGATTTGTAACAAACGCATCCGATGTGCTAGTTAAACCATGCACCAATAAAACTGGTTCTCTTTTTTCGTTCGAACACTTCTTGGAATTTGCTCGAAAAATTGTTAAAATATATTGATCTTCAGTGCGGACGGTATGATTTTCGGACTCATATCCATGGTATCGAATAAATTCATCCTGAAATTCGAGAAAAATATGGTTACTTCGAAATTTAATGAAAATAAATCACTTTACCGTCGAAAATCCGCACAATTTTTGCGCTTCTGCATCGAATTGTGCATCTGGATCGAAAATATTCTGTGAAATTACAACAGAGACAAGAACAACAACAGCAAACACTTCAAGAAATATATTTGGAAACATCTTGACGACTACATGTAGTTGCAACGAGTAGCTTCGGAATACTTTGTTCTACTGCAGCGTCAATTAGTTCACAATGCGTTTTTATAAAACTTATTTTTGTACGGAAATTGATTTCTACGTATTTACTACGACGGAAAGCAACAAATAAAAAAATGAGTCATTGATTTCTACGTATTTGACTGCCCCTGTGCATCACGCTTATTCTTACTTCAAATTGTGTTCGTAACAGAAATTTTCTATTCAAATAAATCACTACAAGTTTATTGTGTAATTAAAAGAGTTAGAACTGAGCCCATTTGATAACAAACTGGCTTTGATCCAGACAACATTCAATTAACTTTTGTTTAATTTGATACAGTTGTGTATAGATAAGACTATTTTGAAATGTTGCGTGAAATTACGAAATTGTAATATTGTGCAAATTTGCAATTAAAAAAACCATAAAATTAATGTCAACACACTGGCTACAGTGATCAATTTACATTGAGTGCAAAAACATAAGAAGAACATGGTTCACTTTACATGGTTACAACAGTCACCATTGGATGGCTATCGAAATCAGTGCTATTATAGGCACCGTGGTGGTTTTCATGTAAGTGCTCTCTTTCAGAAAGTGCGGTCTTTCTTGCACTCAGGTACGGCACTCGAAAAATTATATGGAATAAGTGCCAGCACCTCTCCAGTACCAATAACACCTGATCGACATCAATTGAATGTAAACAAAAAATGGGTGAATTCCTGGAAGACCCGGTGAAACAGTTCATAAAAAGATAATCAATGATCATAATTTGTTTCGAGCGTTACATTGTTGATCTCTTACCAAATCCAATTAAAATGTGTTATCATTTCAAAATTCATAAAATATTGATTACTATCATAATTTAGAACCATTCATTTCCAATGCCATTTCGCAAAATGTGGATAATTTCAGTCGTAAAACGGTCACAAAATGCAGCGATATTTCTTCTAAAACTTGCTGATGGTCTTCGATAAATGCTAAACGATTGTTTTTTTCAATCGCGGAATTTCTTCGATCAATAAATCTTGTGTGGCATGTGTGGTTTTGCGAGTAAATGGGAAGAGAGACAAAGTCAATAAGTAAAGTAGACAAAGGAGAATGCAATAAGTAAAGTAGAATCAAAGTAATGAATTGATTCCACTTGACCGACTTTATGGTTAACTTTTTTTTCTTCGCAAGTGAAATAAATGTTGCGGTGCACGTAAACCTGTTGCATGATCCATTCCATTTGGCAGGCGAAAGCCGTTAATTTCCTTGACAAGATGAGCTATTTTTTTCATTGGGTTTTTCGTGAATTTGATTGAAGGAGAGTGCATTGAAGATTTTCCGATCAAAACATTTGTTATTTTTTTACATTCATTATTTGCTGTTGTTCATTTGATTTGCACACAATGGAGGGATTACGCGATTGCATTGATCGTAATCAGTGGCGCACAAACGAATTTCGTGCATATTTGACGATTGTGAAATGTGAATAATAATTAAAACGAATGAGAGAAACACAGCGGTATGCACAAACAACAACGTTTGTCATTATGCTTCGGATGCTTTTCGGGTTGAGTAACAGTTAGCGAAGCAAAATAAACGAACAAAAAAAAAATCTCCGATAAATCAAGTCGATTGAATAAATTACTGGGGCGCAAGACGTGTATTTATGAGGCTCAATTGTAAATCATTTGTTACAAGTGCCGACGACGATGGTTGGTGCGGTGAATGCGCTCTCCGCTTTGATTCACATATATGTAATCTATTTTGTTGCACGTTGAAAATGGGCCAAATTGAAGGCACACTGAAACAAAGTTGACATTATGATGATGGCACACATTTTCGAATTTGTTTTAGTGACAATAAATTATGCAGACGAAGAATGGAGACACTGAAAATGGAATTGAGCAAATTGAACGAAAAATTGCAATTGAATGCGGTGCTAATGCATCGTGATGAAGCACTCGCGGACGCGTGGGGGGGATGCTCAAGCGGAAAATGTTTATCTGACATCAACCAATAGATGTTAAGCCAATCAGTTGAATTACGTGATAAAAACCGTGAAAACACGAACTTTCAAACTGCAAAAACAACACATCAATGATACAACGATGCTTTAACGTAATTTTTACATGCAATTCCAATTGCTTCGTTTTAACACAGTCGATGCTTTATAACGCAAATCATTTTACATTTGATTGCACAAATTCAATGAAAAATTGATTGAAGAGAAGTGTTTTACACAATCGACGGTGTTTCAATGGAGAGAAACATGCATTTGAAAAAGTTTTGCTTTAAAATCAACTTTTACACCAAAGTTCCCCTAGCATTACCGATTTCGATATTTACTTTTTAAGTGGTTTCAATTGTCGATTGCACTTGTTTAAACCAATAAAAAGTGTCTGTTATTCAGAATCGACTTGTCTTCATGACGCACACGGTGAATCTCTTTGCCTGCTTTCAAAACCTTCTCAGAAACGGAAATATTCTCTTTGAACCATTGAAATTGAAAGCGAAAATGTCCAGATTGGATTTAAAATGAATATAAGGTCTTGAATCTTGACATTTTAAACGCAATGACATTTTGTGTCACTTGAGATTTTCACGCTAATTGGCATCGATGAATTTTTGCAATGGCAAAAAAAATAACGATTTTCAAATCGTGAGAATGAGAACCGGATTTTGAAGAGGATTCAGTGAATTCTGAACTTTTTCAGATTTAACCTTCAACACAAACTGACTCGAAAACAATAGACGGGAACTCTCAAATGGAATATGGTTGAATATTTGATGGGGTACACAAAAATCATTAATTTAAGAGTGAAACGAATGATGGAAACAGAATGTAATGTAACTTAAAGTATAAAATTAATTATTAACCCATGCTTTCTACGAAAATGTCTGTTACAAAGAGATTCAAAATTGTCCAGTTTCATTAGCATTTAATTAGAAGCATTCTTATCAGTTGTCAGTGTAATTAATTTAATGCCATATCATTATTCGTTGTTGTAAATTAAGAATGACAATTAAATATGCATAAAATTCTCTTGTTATTTTAGATGCGAAAAAAGGAATCTGAATCATGCAATTCAATTACTAACGAGAGCAATTTGAACAACACGAAGATGACGACAACGACTAACAATGAAAATGCCACAAATCAAACGAAACAAACGATAGCTACACATGATAGCACCACACAAACGACATGCAAAGAGGATTTATTCACAATGGTATGTAAACATGGAATGAAATTAATCCAGAACGAATTTCGTCGCAATTCTTCTTCTTTATTTTAGTTTCAATTGCTTTGTTTTATCTATCACTACCATGGTAGTTCGTTGAATTATTTTATTATTATTATTTGGCAAAATCGATTTGATTCAATTGAACTAGTCTTGCGATAAACGAAATATAGATTGATGCTTCACTCGGTTGAAAACGTGTCATGTGATGCATTCTACGACTTTATCTATTTCTATTAGAAACTGACGTAAGCTGTTAAAAGTTTTGACTTAGAACCGCATTAATGGCGATAGAATAATAACAAGAGACAAAATTAAAGTTAAACTTTTCAAAGTCTACCTCGAATTTGAAATTTACGGCATTGACTTTCGGCCAGTCTTAGTGTTTGCCAATTTCGTTCGTTTTCTTCTTCGGTCATGATGAGAGATGGTCTTTTACGGTTGAAGCGAATAAATGGATTAAAATAAGTCGATTTTCGTTGGATTCGCATGGCTCGTAAATCATTTTATTTAAAATAATATCAAATTCTATGTAAGCAGCCGTTGAGTGTGACCGTCTTCTGCGTTGTGACGATAACAATAAAATTTCTTCGAAAACAAAGTTTAATTTTTATTTTCGAAAATGAAGACCAAGTCGCTAAAGGACGCACTAAAAAGTAATATAAAAATGAAAGAAAAGAAGATTTTAACTGAAATCAATTCAAGTGTTTCTTTTAAATCCATCAAAAACAAAACTGTTTTAATTTGAATTCGTAACTCTTACAGTGGCTATACTAGCCACTTCAAACCGGCGAAACTGTTGAACATCTGGTTTGCAAGCAAAACAAAAAAGTGATTCAATCAGAACGCACTTAAAACACTTAAATTGAGACACAATCGTATCGATGAACATTCCGAAGCACGAAACGCAAAGAATGTATATTAAAGGAAAGAAGCGCACACCATAAAAAAGGTGTAAAGGCAAAGTACTTAAAAGCAATTTAGTCGTGTGTTGTTTTTCTCTTCCTCTTCTTGTTGGTTCTTGTTCTTGTATGCCCCGCTGAATCAATTTATGTATATTTTATTCTTGATCTAGTTGACATCAGTTCACAGTCAAGTGAATTTGATGTGCGTATCGAGTAATGGGTTTTCTATTAGCCGTGTGCTCTAGAGACGCACACACACATTGATGATAAATTGATGGAAATTACCGTCATCATTGTCATCACTTTCAACGACATAAAAAAGTAACGAGACTTTTTATTCATCTTTCTGTCGAATGGAGCTTTACATACGATCGTGTTTTAGTTTTTCTGAATGTAGAAGGCAAATGTATTGTAAAGGAAGAAAAACTATTTTTTTCGTGCTTTGTTATTTAAAAACATAGACTCTGACATTGGTACATACATGGGCATGGTCGACTTTAGCAAGTCGGAGAATTTTTCTCTCAAAAAATCTCAGCAAAAAGGTTTTTTTTATTCCGATCAAAATTAATTGCAGTGCTCCCCCTTAGGCAAAAAGACCGTAGAAAATCGAAAGGAATATTGAAATGCCAAGGGGGTAGCTCAGACGATTTAAGGAGGGGTTATCCCTACGTCCATGTATGCATTGCTCACATGATCGCATTAACTACCCCCTCAAACGTTTGAGAACCCGTCAGGAATTTTTTTACAGAGAACTTTTACACTAGATAGAATCGATAGCCGTGACGCCCCCTAGATTTGCAAGTGTCCGCCCTTATGATTAAAATTTCCAAAAAAAGTAATTTCAAGCAATTGCGATATTATTTTCAACTGAAAATGGACTTTTGGTTCATTGAAAACGGCTTACTGGGCACAGTGAAGAAAAGTTCATCATGTTGTTTTAAGACTTTATATTCAAGAGTTATTTTATCACTTTTTAAATTACACACTATTTTTCGACTTGGTTTCTACATGGACTAAAGTGCTTTTGTGGTATACACAACCAGACCAAGTTCAATCTCTCTTCAGATCGAGGTTTTTTCTCCTTCTGGCAAACAACAACAAGAGTTTTGCCAACTTTTGCGTACTACAATGAAAAAGTACTTGCGTGTACAATGAACGAAAGTAAGGGATTATTTACGGCAAAAAAGTTTCCGATTTATTTATTTGAAGCAACATTTTTGGTTAGCACGATAAAATGAGAAAACCATTTAACTTTCGCTGATCAAAGTTAACTTTTGATTTTTGTACATCGGATTAGGGCGCTTCGCCTACTACTTTCACACTCGCCCGGAACTATCAAATGCATTGGAATTTGCTGACTTTTTTTTTGAAGAACAATAAGACTGGAAAATTATAGTATTTGATGGAAAATCCCCGAACAAAGTTCTTACAAGTGATGTTGTGAGGAGTTTAGCATGGCGAAAGATATTTTCCATTGACGTTTTTCATTGTAAATTGCTTAAAAGCCTTATTATTTTTCATTTTTCGTGTTTGATTACGAGTCCAGATTGGGTCCATTGATCACGCTTGAAGACTTGAATATTTTTCATCATGCTCTTCAATTCAAAAATTGATCTAAATTGCACCAAGCTATTGTACCTGAAAATCTCTATTACAAGTGTATTTAAAATGAACAACAACTTCGATAAACATTCAAACCCACAAAAACCAAAGAGAAGACGACAAAAGAGCGAGTAAACTCATCACTTGCCATTTAGCCGGTGGTTTTTTTTGTGAGTGGCAAAAACTTGTGTGCATTGTCTCGTGATTCAAAACACTTTGAAGTAATGAAACTGCGGATGACACGTCCGGAATGGTGAAACAAAAGACAATGAAAATTAATTTATAAATGTTAGAGAAATGCATGCATCTATCCCATTTAAAACGGGATTTGTTAGCTTTTATGTGTTGTCTTTTGTATATAGTTTTGGTGGTTGTCACCGGTTGTCTTGGCATAAATTTCATTACATTTGACTCACTCAGTTCAAGCTAGGTTCAAGTGCTTGTATGTTAAATTTATTCACTGGATATTTTGCGTTTGTGCAATCTACCTTAAAGTTTTTGTGCGGTTTTCGGGTGGATCGAGAATTCAGAGAAAGAGAGAGAGAAAGGAGTAAAAAAACACATGAAAAAACCGCAACGCACTAAAGGTGTTCTTTTGCCAAGTGTGTGTGTGCCATTTGGTTTGGAAAATCGAAACAATGCAGTGTTCCGATGATTATCATGCATTGTTTGCATGCTAACCCAATTGTGTATTTGCCATAATTCTAATGGGCTTTGAACTCTCCTTCTCTCTTGCTGAATGACACTATCCAACCATTCTATCTTCAGCCAGTATTGTCTCGTTGTCCATTGAAATGTCGGATTTACGGTATTGTAAGCTTCCACCACTATTCACCCGGAATTTACGTTAATTAAAGTTGAATCGCGTCATTTCAACCCCTTTTGTTTGACGAAAAATTAAATCACAATTCAAAAGCATACTCAACGCCAAAACATGATATTTCAACGCAAGACAATTACTTCAATGCCAAAATCATCATCACGTCAAAGTACGTGGAAGAAAAAAAAAGCACGATGAAGTTTTGACTAATTGCTTCCTTGTTTCATTTCATTCACAGCCGCATGAAATACGGGAACGAATCATGAACGTTCAAAACGAACTGCAATTCTGCAAATCAAAGGTAAGTCTCTTGCTTTGTTGTGTGCGAGAGAAAAAAAAATTGTTTGGTAGTGCCAAAATTAGTGATTGCCATTCTCATTCATTCGATTTTTAAAACAGGATTTGTCTGGATCAGACAACGATTCCGCATTGTCATCAGCACCGCCATCATTAAGCCCACAGCCCGGTACACAGTCAAATTCACCGGATGTTTGGCAAACGGTACGTTATTCTTGAAATAATTTTTTTACAGCACTGTCGTGTGGTTGAAATAGCGGGAGCAACGAAACAAGAGAAAATGTCACTCAGTGCAAAACGAATTTTATGCGAAGAGAAAGGGAGACTTGTGCCAGAAGATGAAAATTCTTCGAAAAAGTCATCGAAGAAGAAAGGGGTGAAGAGAAGAAGGAAGAGCAGAGGGCAGAAAAGATGCACCGAATGAAAAGAAAATTGTGCAGTTTTTGGGTGTCGGAAATGCGCATGAGGTCATGTGTATTGTGGATTATTTAGTCATGACATCGCATGCCATTTTTCATGGCAGTTCATAAAATTCGTTTCACCTTCTTCGTTTGTTTTTTCTCTTGTTCGTCTCCATCGCTTTGAATTCAAAAACAGGACACGTCCTCTCTGTGGCCCCATTGTGGTCTTGAGCCAAGTTCAAGATTGCTATTTTCGCTTTGCGAAAAGATAATTTGGCAGATTTAATAAATCTGTTCGGCTACGTGGCTTGCTGACGATTTTTCTTTTTGCTCGAATTTTTCGAGGAATTGTGTCTTGCGATGAATTAAATTTCCCGTCATTTTTTTTCTTCATCAAATATTAATCCAAACTTTATTTTCTTTCGTTTATTTTTTTTCATCTCTTCCATCTTTCTCTCCATTGAAAAGCTGTTAAAGGATTTCAAAGAGCATGAAAACTTGCAAAAAGAATACGAGCTGATTAAAGAGGAGAATCAGTTTTTGAACTGTGAAATTTCGTTGGCCGAGGAGCAAATACGCGAATTGGAAAAAGTACTGCAAATGGTAAGTGGATATATAAAAAAACAACAACAACCAGCAACACTGATGGCAAGCAATAAAATTGCACGAAGTGCAAATACACAAAAATTCGTCGTGCATTGCCAAAATAAGTCAACTGTGTGTACGCGCGCGCAAATACACAAAATCAGATAAAAGTAAACAAATGTCGATGTTTTCGCTGCATCGTTTTTCTTTTCGTTCGTCTGTTGCACAAACAATTTTGCGCCCGCGAGCATATTTTTCGACATTTCCGGATCGAAATGCGAATACTCTATTTATTTATATCGAAATTGCATTTTGCTCTCATTCTCATCGATTTCGTTTTTTTTCGGTCGTTTGCTTGATTTCTTTATATCACAAAACGCAATTGTGGACGGATGCCAATGGAAACAGACTCGCGAAAACAACAAACACGATGAATTGCATGAAAGAATACATCAGCTGGAGTGTAAAGAAGCCATTATCCTGAAAGAATCACATGAATTACGTGAACAAAATGAACTACTGGAATTTCGTATCATCGAACTCGAGGAAGGCGCTGATAAGGTAAGCGGAAAAAATAAACACACCTTTTTGTTTGTATCTGAAGCGAAACCGTTTTGTTTCCGAAGTCAATTTGAACTTTCGTGTAAAATTCCAATTTAAATTCAACTTTCTACATCGAATGGAAGAAATGATTTACCGGTACCGTTTGTTTTCTAGTTCATTGTTTTCCCATGCATTTTGCGCTCGTCTACTCATCGCGGTTTGCGACGATTCTACGGCGCATTTTTTTTTATCTTGGTGTATTGTGTTTGATAAAATATGTGTCAAAGTAGCAGCTCATAAGTGTCAATTGTGGTGTCTATCGGTGTGAGACCTTGTCACTTTCACATATTGATTTATAGCGTCTGACATCAAACGCGGCATTACTCATTAGCGCGTTGTTGACACCGTCGCTGATAGAATAAAAAGAGGGGGGATATAGAGCCATTGTTAAGCTGAAACGGTGAAAAAGAAATACGATGCGAAAATCCTTTTTTCAATGTTTTATTGATGTCGATTCGAGCGGATTGAAATTGATTTCGTTGCAGTCGATTGTGCAGAAGTCAAAGTCGCAACCATGAGCGAGGTAGAGAGAGACAGACAGAGAGAGAAAATCCCGTTGTCAACAAGTGATGATGACGATAAAAGTAACAAAGTCAATCGTCGATTGCTCATTACTTTTTTAAATTGAATGCTCGACGAACAGTAAAATCAATTTGATTCACACTACGATTGTCTTTGTTCCATCGATTGAATCGCATTTGGCGTATTCAATGTAAACTGTTGTCTCTTTTATAAATTTACACTGGAAAATGCATACATCCGTAATGCAATTCAATGTGAATGGGTTCTTTTCTCTTGCAGCGATACCAAAGTCACTTCAAAGTGCATTTCTATCTCGTTACGATTTTGGTACTGACCTCGATGCAGCAGTTGCATTGCAAATCCATTTAAAATGCGGATAAAAGTGAATGAACAATAGGGAATAAAGAAGGTGGCTTGAGTTCACAATGGCTACATCTATTTGTTTGAATTTTCGGTGACTTTTGCACTAGTTTTGTCGGTGCGGTTGAATATTCTCTCATTTTTCCTACATTTCCTTACCATGTTTCTCATGAATACGACGATTTTTGCTGTTTCAGAGAGTTTTTGATCGAAATATTCTCATTCGTTTTATCAAAATTCAACAACAGCCAATTTCTCTCTTTTGCTCTTTATTTTCTCTCATTCTCTCTCTCTCTCTCTCTCTCTCTTTCTCTCTCTCTCTCTCTATAAATCAGCCCTTGAAATTTCGAAATTGCAATGTTAAATCCATATTCACCGATTTTATCCGGTCGAATCGATTTTCCACCGTCTCTCCACAGTCATCTCTCTGTGCACGGCCTTTCATAAATAACCCAATTCATAAAATTCAATCCGATTGGTTTTTGAGCCATATACTCTGTTTTTCTCACGATTACTTCGTTCATGCAAGCTCTTGAAAAACAAAAGCGACCAAGCAACGGGTAAACACGTGCTCATTCTGGTTATATTGGATTGAAGAACGTGATCTAATCTAAACTACTGGTTGTTTTTTTCACGAAACGCATGTTTTGTTCCATTCTCATTCGAATTTATTTCGATATTGAATAATAATAAAAAGCAAATTGATAAATACGAATTGAATCATTTGCAAATGGCAAAATCTAGCAATAAGAGTAGAATAGCAGTAACATAACGAGTGGCGAACAGCAGACTCTGTAACGAGAAGAGAATAGTAGCACGAGTAGAAAAGAGGTTCGAGTATGGTTTGCCATTGGGAGAATTGAAGAAACCAGAAAGACCTAAATCACTGCTCATAAATCGCTTGAATATGTGCAATGTGTAAACAATTCATATGCGAAATTGATTTAAAATTGCCATTTTTCTTGCCTTCACTCTCTGCATACACACACACACACCACCGTCGTTGGTGTTTCAATTCATTTTCGTCCGACGTTGTGCACCGAGAGAAAGAACATTGGCCAGTCAAAATCAAACCAATGCTGTCGGCATCGATTTTCACATGTTATGGATCATCGAGTCGCATTTTTTTCTTTTATGCTCGTTACAACGAACAACTGCACATTTCAATTCAATGAATCATAATCGCATTTTGCTACTTTTGCCCACACTTTCAAATCGCTTAAAGTAAATATCCTTCATTTGGAATTTATTGGACCAAATCGACAGTTCGAAATAATAATCGAATGAACGTTTTTCATTTATGATAATTGGACCATATGTGGACGGTCTTTCGGCCAAAAATCATATTTTCTAATCAAAAGATAAACAAAATAGAAATGCATACAAAAATGAATTTGTGTGCCACAGAAACAGAAGCAAAAACCAATTCCACTTTTCAACAATTCAAATCAACCCGTCGGCCATCCCATTTACAAATTCACTCTGTAAAATCATTTAAACCAACTAACTGACCAATTGGACGAATTTTGTGCAGTCAGCTTATGCAGAAATAATATCCAAAAAAAATCAAACGTATGGGTTTCATTAATTTAGAGATTTACACACGGTCGGATACCATTTCAAATTGATAATTTTCGAACATATTTTTCCAAATTTTTTGAAAAAAATTTGATACTAATTTTGATGAACGCAATTTAGAAATTGAAATACACACAAATTATGCCGACCTTTTGAGGATATGACTATTTCTGCATTTCAGTGAATTCTGCTTCAAATATGAACCGGAATGATGCAGAGTTTTTTATGGATTTTTTTTTTGAAATAAAGAGATTTGTTTGGAAACCAGTTTTGGACCTTCCGAATGCTTGAGGACATTATTACATAATTTTCAATTACTTACTGCTCGAGCTCTATTTGAGATGTTCAACTTGAGCTCTAATGGCATCGGGCACACATGGGAAGGTCAAGGGGATCCATTCACCCATCAAGAACCCCACCAAATTAAAAGAATACCCAAGACTCGGCCAAGGGAGTAGATCGGTCATTTTAAGGGTTATCCGGGCTTGACATCCCTTCCCATCGAGGTTAGAATCAGAAGAACAAGTTCGACCAATTCATAAAATAACCTTTGTAATTGATTTTGAGTGAAATTTCTCTCGAAGAAAACAGAAAAAATCCTAAATTTCTATCAAAAACAGCAACAAAATGAGAAAATATAGTTGCGCTTAAAGCTAACAACGATCAATGTTTATTCAAATTGATTCGTCATTGTATTTTTTTTTAATTCACTCGTCATTTAACTTACTAAATGAGTGGCCATTTGCTCATTGCTCAATGGCCAGCTGTCCGTTTCACTCCGGCCATGCACTTTCAATTTCATAATTTCGACTGTCATGTTAATGTCGATATTTTTCGGATTACTAAGTGCATGCCACTCAAACAATTTTTGACTCAAATGCAAAACATTCAGCATATTATATAGTGGGCAAGTGTTAAAACACTATAAATACATGTTTTTTTGCACTGTCGTTGTTGGGCAGCAGTAGAAAAAAAAACGAACACCATGAAACTTAAGTAGTTCGACTAGTTTTTGGTTCTCACACGTCGTTGCATATATGCTTACAGTTCAACAGTGTGTTAAATAATGTGTCAGATTATGCACAGAGCATTTTCTTTGGCGTCAATAAAGTGTCAGCCGCCGTACAAAGAGCATGCATAAATATTCACGTAATGGATTGTGTTTCGTAAAGCGATTTGCATAGAAAAAACTTGCCAGACACACACACAAAATCGATAGACTAATCAAAAGGGTTTGGCTGGATTTGATACGAAAAGAATAAAAAAATAAAGAAATCACTTCTTGCAAAACACCATTTTGACTCATAAGAAGTATGAGAAAAAAGAATTGAATGAAGAGTCATCAAATCAGAGAAACAAAGAACGATTTTGTTCTCAAACAAAGGAAAAAGAAACCTCGTCATAGAAATATGACACGTTTTATTTGACAAATGACACTTTACACAATAGAGAATGAACGCTAACCATGCGATAGAGAGAGAGAGAGAGAGAAATGGATCATATTTCACATGCGAACCACTTTTGTCTCATTTCAATCGGCACTTTTGTGTGATTTGACAAATGAATGAATTCGTGTTATGAATGACCAATTGCCAAAGCTGCGATAAAAAGGTTGATGCACGATGATGATTTAAAGTTATTGTTTGCGGTTGACTCCAAACAGCGGAGAAAAAATAACAAACAAGTTGAGATGATTTTGCAATCGATATGTGGCGAAACGGTGGCAGTGAAGAAAAAAAAGACGGAAAGGGGGAAGCGGAGATTGAAGAGAAAAAAACACATGAAAAAGGGGGATTGTAGAAGAGCAGAGATTGTAGAAGAAGGTGGAAGAGGAGAAGAAGAGAAGAATGAAAGAAACAAAGAAAAAGAAAGAGATTGACAAACGACAAACTGTCATTTGCGCCACTCGGATTAACTTTTTGATTAAAACATTCATTTCATAATTGCAATTACCAAAAAGTCCATTGACTTATCTCGTTGAAATGCATAATTCAATCATTGTATCATAACATTGTTGAGCTAACATTCTATAATGCACCCATTGCACACAAAGAACCTGAAATCAAATTAAATTCACGTGGAATTTGCATTATAGAATTTCTTGAATCTCAATTAAATCAAACCTAATAACATCATCAATCCCTTCGATATTTCATAATGCCAAAATTCCGCCTTCGATGCGTACAATAATCGAAATTCCCTTTCGCCGCATCAAAGACATTGATTTTACCCGTTTTGAAAATTACATGAAATTGAATTTAATAATTACAACATAATAGATAAAATCCATTCACCGGTTGAGCGCCGAAAAAAACGTATTGATATGCATTCGATTAAAATGATTTAATTGAATCAGTTCAAAAACCGCGAATATAATATTGAAATGAAGCGTGTAAAATCGGTTAAATTCGCTCGAATGCGGCTCTTTTGTTTTGCCAACGACACAACGAATTGGTTTAATATGCGCGTTAAACAAGTCATAATAATAAATAAATGGAATGCAACAAATGCCAATAAAATCATGCAAATGATCTAATTATAAAACAAACCCATCGCTGTTGTGTGCACGCCAAAGCATTGAATATTGCTCAGCACACCGAAACTATTCGTGAAACATGTATAACAATGCCGCCGATGTGAATCAATTTTATTGCACACAGTTCCCTCCGCCCATTCGAGGACGAAGAACGTTGGAATTTCGGCTTCAATTCGCACAAGAACAGAGTCTCTGCTTGAAACAGTGTTTGCAATATCGTTTCCTCGTTCGAACACAGAGACAAATCGCTACCAAATCACGTTGATTTTGAGTGTGCCGCAGTGATTTGAACGCTGACTTAAATCAAACACATATTATGCCACCACATAGTTGCAATCAACATTGAGCGAATTTAACGAGAGAGCGCTGAACACTTGCATTCAATTTAATTTAAACATGACCATAGGCTATGGCTTCTTTTTGGATATATTCTATATAGCTTTGTGCATAGGGTTCTTGTTCATATTTACGATGGACGTTTTTTGTCGATTTTGTATCAATTGTTTTTAACTCTAAACGTGTGCACAATGTTTATTCAGTGGTTGTGTTTATTTCACAAAACTTTCCGAACGAATCAAACAAATAGATTTCGATAAATTTATAGGATAGCACATACTGAACGAAATTCGTGATGGTCTAGATGAAACTTGTAGTAACATTTGTTCAAATAGCACTTTGGCATGAACTTTCAAGTAGTCGGATCAAACTTAAAGCAGTTTTCATATAAATTGATAAAGATTTTCAGTTTTTGCGCACACACCAAATTGATATTTATCAATTTTTTGGTTGAGATTGAAAGTTAGGTGCCGGCGTTTGTTTGGAGAGAAACATAGAACTTGTTTCAGATTTTTTGAATATATTGAGAAGGAAAATGATTTAGCACTTTTTCTGATTCTCTTTCTCTATTTTGCTTCTCCAACTCCCCCAATCTCACTCAATCTCTCTATCTCCCTCTCAATCTCAATCTCAATCTCTGCGTCCCTGTATATCTCCACATCTCTCTCTCTATCTCTATCTTTCTCTCTCTCTCGCATTCTCTTTCTTTCTCTACCTATCTCACTGATATTTTTTGGTGTGAAGATCTTCCTATTGCTCGAAATTCCTCTCTTTCTTTCATTTTCATTAGCCAAAAATACAATTCCATTGGCTGCAACTTCCATCGTTCCAACATTTTCTGTCTTCAATCTCTCATCGAATCCTCTCTATATCTCTTCTTCAAAGTTTCTGTATCTCTCCGCCGACTGCATCTATTTACCCATGCACAGTTGTCAAGCAAATAGTTTACCTCATTTCGTTCACATACTTCGTACAAAGATGCGAATGGTTTTCAATTTTCCGATAAATTTTCGTTGGTCTTTTGTTTGGCTCAATATTGTTGTTATATCGAGCGTAACGCAACAGCGTGTTATCGTGTTGCTCATCTCAATCAATATGCACGATACATTTGCAAACCAAATCGTTCATCACTTGATTAGTTTTGTATCATGTTGAATTGAACTGTCCATTCCTTAATCTCATTGCAAAATGAGTTGTGTACGTTTGAATTGGTTCTCTTTCTCCATCTCTCTATGTGCTCTTTCTCTCTTTTTCAGTCAATCCTGTTTGCTTTTTCTCTTCTAATTTAGCAAAGTAGCTATTTTGCTTTAATCGATTCACACAGCTCGATTGTTATCTTGCAAAAGCAACCGACGCATCAGACCGAAACAAATGGATTTCGTTTCGAAGATGCAAGACACCAAATTTACAATGGAAAACATTCAAAAACTGAATTCAACCATAGACAAGAGTGGCTTTTTTGCACGACATCGAACCTTGAATTAGCAAAAGCACCAACATCAACCAAGATAGTCGAAGCCACCTGGTTTTGGACCTCATTTATATTCATTTGCCGAGGACAATATAATCACATTCAAAGCGACAAAGTTGTAAACAACAATTGCAAATAATAAATACACCCGATCATCGGTTCGTGTTTGTATATATATATTTCATAGTGAACAATGGAATAAATTCGCACTTCGGTCGCAGTGTCTCGGGTGACAACATGATACCATTGCAAAAATGAAGAAAAACAAAAAACCACTGCTCGCTAGTGTAAAACTATTTTGTAGTTTTTCGAGAGTTGTTGCGTGTGAAAGAGCGAACAGCTGAATGTCGCCAGTACAGTAAAACTCAAAATGTAAATGCAAAATGCTAATAGTACTAAATAGCAAAAAAAATAACCAGTACAAGCTTCGAGAAACCGGGAGTCGATTTGAACCACCGCTTGGGTTTGGTGTGTGTTTTTTTTCGTTTCTCAGTTGCATTTCGGTTGGTTGTGCATGGTAAACATCACTTTTACATGTTTATTTTGGGATAAAGTTTTGTATATTTGGGCGCCGTTCTTTGTCGTCGATGAATGGCGTGAGAAAATTCGCCAAATCACACATTGTTTCCTCTGTTGCTCTCTTTGTGTGTGTTTGTTGCTGTAAATGTGTTCGCTTGTTCGTGTTGTTTTTTTTACTTGCCAATTTTCGGTTCGTACCATTTACAAAAACTGCTGTTTGGTTTTTGCACAGCAACAACTAACTATTTTCATTAAAATGGAAATGATTTAAACGAAATGCATACACAATGCTTACATTTATATACAAAATATACAGAATGATCTTGGTTATGAATAAACTGCCAGCCGAAATTACAAGCTCAAATGTTTGGTTCGGTGAATTTTTGATCCGGTGGATTTTCGCTCTGGAATTATGAAGCTGACAGTTGATATTTCAACAATAAATTTGTTGCCGCTGGCATTTTTGACGGTGAAATGTTAATACGCTACAATGTTTGATGAATTTTTCCAACCGAATAGTCAAAGTTCAAATGACACATTTTCACAGAATATTTGCGTGCAATGAACTTTTTCCACATCCCTTTGAATATCTAC